TGCTTTGTCCATAGTGAGACTATAGAAAAGGCTGATACCACTGCTGTTGTTGCATGGAGCTTGTTTGTAAAAAGTAATTTTATCAGCTGCTGCCAGACATACACACCCAGTGAGACACGGGAGATTAGTCTTGTCCGGAGAAAAGAATAGATAAGACCTGTTCTAAACTCTTTGGAGGGCTAATATTTCTATTACCTGTATAAAATACTTACAGTAAGTGAATGTTAACTGGAATATTTATCCTGTTGCAGTAAATGTGTATAAGTGATCCTTTACTTATTTAACATGTATTATTTCTTTGGATGTATGAAAATGTATTGTTTCTTTTATCTTACAAAATGGTTTACTTCTATTTTAGGGACTGTCCATAAATCACGTAATGCATTAGGGAATAGGTGGGTCCTCAATTTTGCATGTTTGTTTCAGTGTTACAAAGGGATGGGTGGGTCTTGAAAATCACCAAACTATATGTTATCTAATCCATGGACAGCCCCTTAGCATATATATTACTAGTATATGTCTAGGACACTAAAATTTATTTTTGGTAAGCATTTCTTTTCCTCCCTGGGTAATAATTATCAACAATATGGAGGTCATAAAATAGTGGTAAGAATTAGAATCTTAGCCCAGACTGTGGAATTCAGACTTCATCAGCCGTGGTCCTGCCTTCATGCTATACATGCTACCATGTTAGGAGATCTTCTTACAGCACTCTACTCCCTTGATGTGATTAAAGCATGATACAATCTTGCAGTGTAGACCACCTAGACTCTTGTCCCAACAGCAGTTGTATACTATGCTTGGAGGGACATGTCATAGTTTATAGTCACGATTAAAACATAGTTCAGTCTGTCTATATTGCCAGACCAAAACAAATCATGTTTTCAGCATGTCAGGGGACTACAGTGGGGTAACCAAATTATACAGCATGCGAGCAGTAATGACACTGCTGAGATCACATCAGAACCTTAGAGTTGAGGGTGTATGAGTAACTTCCCTGATCTTTAGGAGCCTGCAAGAGTAACAGAACATTGTGTTTTTATTTTACATCCAGTCATACTAGCACTAATGGCATGAGGGATCACTTGTTCGGATGGGATGGTCAATAGCTGGTCAGAGAGAATCAGCCTTTCCACACAAACTATGCTATCACTCTTTAGGGCAGGGGTGGGCAAACTATGGCCCAAGGGCCGGATGCAGCCCGCCAGCTGTTTTAATCCAGCCCTCGAGCGCCAGCCGGAGAGCAGGGTCGGGGGCTGCTCCACGCGGCTCCCAGAAGCAGCGGCATGGCCCCGCTCCGGCACTCCAATCAGGAAGCTGGGTCAGGGGCCGCTCCACGTGGCTCCCGGAAACAGCATCATGGCCCTCCTCTGGTTCCTATGCATAGGGGCAGCCAAGGGGCTCCGCTCTGCATGCTGCCTCCAGCCCAAGCGCCGCCCCTGCAGCTCCCATTGGCCGGGAACGACAGCCAATGGGAGCTGAAGGGGCGGTGCCTGCAGACGGGGCAGTGTGCAGAGCCGCCTGGCCGTGCCTCTGTGGAGGAGCCAGAGGAGGGACATGCTGCTGCTTCCAGGAGCTGCTTGAGGTAAACACTGCCCGGAGCCTGCACCAGTGAGCCTTTCCCTGTGCCCCAGCCCTGAACCCCCTCCTGCCCTCCGAACCCCTTGGTCCCAGCCTGGAGCACCCTCCTGCACCCCAAACATCTCATATCCAGACCCACCCCAGAGCCCACACCCCCAGATGGAGCCCCGCACCCCCCTCTCCCCTCAGCCCAGAGCCCCCTCCCGCACCCTGAACTCCTCATTTCTGGCCCCATCCTGGAGCCTGCAACCCCAACCAGAGCCCTCACCCCCTCCCGCATTCCAACCTCAATTTTATGAGCATTCATGGCCCGCCACACAATTCCTATTCCCAGATGTGGCCTTCAGGCCAAAAAGTTTTCCCACCCCTGCTCTGGGGGAATAATCCCAACATGTTTCATTTTCCTTTGGGCGTAAAAAGACTTGAAGAGATATTGTCAAGGGCAATAGGCTCAAAATTTAACATACCCATTTTCCTTAAATTTACTGAAAAAGTCAGTGTAATTTTGTTTAAACAAACACATCCCCTAACTTGATAAATGCTAAACCCGCCAGCATATATGCAACATTAATGTTCAGAAATCCTAAAACTTCAGAGGAGGCCAGCAGGGAAGGATGCTCCTACAATTCTTGGTCAGCCATGCTGTGCATTCTTTTACTTTGGCTCCAGTACTGCTCCAAACTAGAGCCAAGGGCAAAACTCTCATTGACTTCTATTGTATTTTTTACATTAATACCAAAAGTACCGGTAACACGTTAAGGTTCACTTTTAGGTAGAAAGGCAAGTCAAGAAAATACAACATATACACTGAAGTCAGGTTAAAGTTGTGGGAGCAATCTTCACTGTTTGGGGATTTCCTGATTTTGAGTGCTTGGTTACTTCAATGTAATGCTACTTTAACATTATATTTTGGCTCTTAGTTTCCTTTATTTATTAACAATGAAAGAAATCCAGAGCTATTTGGCGTGGGGATTGTTGGCTTCCCTGGGGATTTTACAAGTTCCTTGATCCAGAGCCATTTGGCTTTTTCCATATTTTTGTTCTCATTTTTGCATAACTAAAACATGGATCAACTGATTTAGCTCACACTTAAAAAAATAAAATAACAGTGCCCTTTTGGGCTAAAGGCTAACCCTGAAAAATGTCAACTCACAAGGAATATGACCAGAAAGTAGCTGGAAAAGAGGTGCACTGTAAGCCACTCATACATGCATAGGGGACTATTCAGCTGCAGGGATATATGCTTTAACAAAGGGTATCCTGCTTTATTCAGTCATAATGAAAGCGACAAACTTATTAAAACAGTCCCAGTGGAGCTCAGATGTTATACTCGATTAGCAAATCACCTTCCACCTCTGAAAATGGGGGATCAAATTCAGATTTGGGACACAAGTGAAAATTAATTTATTGATCTCTTGGCCTCTTGTATTCCATATCATAAAATCAGCATATAGTGTGGGACAATTCAAGGCTGATGTACAGTACTGCCACTCAAGAGCATAGCATGGAGTACTGGCAGTGGAGCTGGTTGAAGAGTGCAAAGAAAAATGTCAACTTTTTCATGAGAAACAAGTGACAAGTTTGCCCTGCTAAGTCACAAGGTCAGATATTTTGATGCTCATAAATATTAGGATGACATCTGGTTTGCTTGTGAATCCCAAAAGTTTGTAGCCTGAATGATTATTTGTACCCGAAACGTGAGATATATTGGTTTTTGTTCTCCTGTTAAGGAGTTCCACTCTCCCAGTGAGGGAGCAGAAAGAATGCCATGTGACTTGGGTGACCTATCACACAGCATGAAGAATCACTAGTGTGTAACTGAAGTGAACACTTCATGAACAGCCCACAGGCTTAGATTTGTTCCCATGCACCTTTAAGAATAACCAGTCAATTCACAGAAATCAGAACTGGCTCATGAACGATTCAAGAGCTCCGCTGATTGAAGCATTTGTTCTGAATAAATGCTTCAATCAGCTCTAATTAGCAGAACTGCCTGGGAAGAAGCTTGCACCCTACTTAGCTACTGAAAGGATCAGACCAGTTCTATTAGTCCCTTTCTTTTATTAACACTTAATTAACAAGCACATTTAAAAACCAAATCTAAAAAGGACTCTTCCCAACAAACCAATCTCATTGTTTCATGGTGACAGTTGCAGCAGATGTCACTGAATAGTCACCTTTGTAACTGTAACGCATCTGGAGTCTTCACTGTCTTTTCACCTTTGCTTCCTATGATACATAAGTGACTTCTGTCTTAGGGCTGCTAATCCTGGCAAACTGATTGTTACAAGCGTTGTTAGTTGTTGAACAGTGTGTGCGCCTGCCTGGAACATCACATACAGTAATATGGGATGTGTTGCTCTTACCCTCTCAAAGTTCTGCGCCATTATTATTTGGCAGTAAAACTTTGCTCATACCTGCCTGCACTTCAGATTTCTGATATTCAGTGGACTGCATCACTAGCCTCCTGAGCAGCTCATCAAGACGGTGGAGCAGGCCCACCGACGGGGGCAGCGAGGGACAAGGGGACAATTGCCCAGGGACCCGGACGATTTGAAAGGTCCCAGGCACCCCCGGCCGCCGCCGCTGCCGCCATGGTAGCAGTGACAACAGCTGGGAGCCCCGGGCCTTTTAAATCACACGGGTGGGCTGCAGGGCTCCTAGGCACATGCGACCACTCCAGGCCCCACGCTTTGGGGGGGCCCCACGAGCCAGCACGATTGGCCAGCCAGCATGGTCAGTCCTGGAAGTGATGGATTTGTCATGTATGCCCTGGGCCCCACACTCTCCCTAGGGATGGCTCTGGTCCCGGGGCCCGGAATTGCTGTCGGCGGGCCTGCGTTGGAGGCAGGTGGCCAGTGAGGTTTACTGATATCTATTTGCTTATTTATAGCTAGGGCCCTACCAAATTCACAGCCATGGAAAACGTGTCACGGACCATGAAATCTGGTCTTCCCCACGAAATGTGGCTCTCATAGGAGGGCTGCAGTATTGCTGCCCACCCTTCTGTGATTACAGGTGCCAACTTCTCATTGTGCCGGGAGCTGCTCTGCCTCAGGCACCACCCATGCTCCACCCCTTCCCTCAAGGCCACACCCCGCCCTGCCCCCACCCCTTCCACCCCCACTCCTGCCCCGCTCCACCTCTTCCTGCCCCATTCCACCCCCTCTCCCAAGTGTACCACGTCCTCGCTCGTCCACCCACCCCCCCCCGCCTCCTGCATACTGCGAAACAGCTGATTGCGGCAGGAGGGCAGCGCAGGGAAGGAGGCGGAGGTGCTGCTCTGTGGGGCCTGCCGGCGGGCAGGAGGTGCTGGGGGGAGAGGGAGGTGCTGACAGGGGTGCTGCCAGTGGATGCTGAGCACCCATCATTTTTTCCTTGTGGTCACTGCAGCCCTGGAGCACCCATGGAGTCGGCACCTATGTCTGTATTGCCTTCAGAGCTGGATGGCTGGAGAGTGGCAGCTGCTGGGTGCGTGCCCAGCTTCGAAGGTAGCACCATTGCCAGCAGCAAGGTAGAAGTGAGAGTGGCATGGTATGGGGGAGTTGTCACTTTTGTGGGGGAGCAGGGCTGGCTTTATGGGTGGGCGCTGTGAGCGACTGCCCGGGATGCCGTGGTCATCCCCTCCCCCCCGCCCCGCACACACAGCCAGTCCCAGGCCTCGTTAACACTGAGCACTGGGCCCACCTGGGAGCTCCTACTGCATGCCAGACTCCAGCTGTTAGTCCTGGCCAGACTCGGGGGGACGGGACTTTCTCTTCCCCACCCCAGGATGCTCCTGGAGCTGGGTTAGACCCACCTCAGTTAACCTCTCCCAGTTGCAGGAAGCTCTGTGGCTGCTGGCTGGGAGCCCAGCTCTGAAGGCAGTGCCACTGCCAACAGCAGCGCAAAAATAAGGGTGGCAATATTGCGACCCCCCCACACACACACACAATAGCCTTGTGACCCCCGCACAGCCGCTTTTTGCATTGGGACCCCCACGGTTACTACACCATGAAATTTCAGATTTAAATATCTGAAACCAGGAAATTTAAGATTTTTTAAATTCTATGACCATGAAATTTACCAAAATGTACCGTGAATTTGGTAGGGCCCTATTTATGGCTTTAAATAACTCACAACCATCAGGCAGTGCACATCACTTTTATATGTAATGGTGTGCCAACCAATTACCCTTGTCCTCCCGCCCCCATGCCAGTTAGTTTGTGTTTAGGGGTTGTCTACAAGCCACAGTATGACTTAAAATTCAATTAGCTAAACTGGTACAAGGCTGTACAGACACTCAAATCAATATTTGATTTTGATTTTGTCAAAATGAAACATTTTATTTGACCTGAAAAAAATGTTTTCAGAATTTTGGTTTGTGGGAAATTAAAAAAAAAAGAAATTGTTTTCCTTCCATTCCAGAATGGAAGACATTTTGAAATCATGAAACTACCCCCAAAGTGAACATTCTGATTCCTGCACAACCCTAATTAATTATAAATCTTTTTCTATTGATTAGCTTAAATCAATCAAGAGCATGTTTTAGCTATAAAGAAATATGCCCCTCTTAAATTGAAATAAGATTGTTTATACAGGGGTCTGCAATGGTTTAAGTAAATCTGTTTAGAAACCTATTTAAATTAAATGGGTGCAACGTCTGTGTGCCAACAAGGCCTTGCATTTGTTACCACTTGTCTTTAAGTAGACTGTAAATGCTTTGAGGCAGGGACTGTCTCTTCCTTTCTGGTTGTACAGCACCAGTACAATGGAGCCTCACGCTGGACTGGGGCCTCTGGATACTACTATAATATAAATATAAATATAATAATAGATTCTGAAAATCTGCAATTAGAGATCTAGAATGATTTATATACTCAGAGGCATCCTTGATATTTGTTTTATGCCCCAGCAATTGTATACATTCATGGCCTGATTCATCTCCAGTCTATGCCACTGTAACTCCATTGGCTGAGGTGTTGAGCTGAAGAGTCCAAAATGACTTCAGAAGCCCTGTATTGTGAAATAAAATCACATGACAGCACCAAACCAATCATCTTTACCATGGTCAGACATGGAAAAACATTGAAAAATTTGGCTAACTGCAATAAAAATGATGAATCACAAAGTGTAAAACCTCAAAATTATAATTAAAATTTGTGTTGTGGTACCGGCTCCTAGGAATTCCAGTCATGGCCCAGGACTCCATTGTGCCAGCCGCTGTACAAACAGAATAAAAAGACAAAGATAGTCTGTTTTCCCTTTCTGCTCTGTTTTATGCCAATTTTCCTGTAATGCCTGGATCTCTTGCCCACCTCCACATCAGACCAATCCCCTAGCATAGCTATGACCAGAGGTTTCAATATCTTGAGACTTAACACATGTAATCCTCCTCATAAATCCCTTTATCATAACTACATTTTACAGTACGTTTCTCACATCAACATGCTGTTGTGTTTTATTTAAAGATAGAAAAGGAGGGTCTAAAATGGCAGAAAAGTATTCCTCCCCGCCCCACCATCATTTTATCTTAGGGCTTGTCTTCACTACCCGCCGGATCGGCAGGTAGCAATCGATCTATTGGGGATCGACTTATTGCGTCTAGTGAAGACGCGATAAAATCGATCCCCCATGGCTCTGCCATTGACTCCGGAAATCCACCGCGGCAAGAGGCAGAAGCGGAGTTGACGGCAGCGCGGCAGCGGTCGACTCGCCGCCGTCCTCACAGCCAGGTAAGTCGACCTAAAATACACAACTTCAGCTACGCTATTCACGTGGCTGAAGTTGTGTATCTTAGGTCGACCCCCCCCCCCCCCCCCC